AGAAACTTTCCCTTTCCTAAATATTTTCTCTTTGATAAATTATTGATTTGGTTGTTTGAATGTGTTTATCTATTGTGGAACGGGCCGAACGCCTCGGTAGATCAAATAGATGCATCTATGGTTCGCGTCATTCGACCCTATGGCAGTGCACAGTTTATATATTGTTGGATCGGGTCGTATGACCTCGGCATGATTTGCCCATGTTTGTATTGCTTTCCTTGAAATTCATTGATGCTGATAATTGTTTCTCCCTGGCTTGAGATGAGTGCTTAAATGATAAAATGAATGTGGAAATTTCCTATTATTAAAAGAATCGATTACATGTTCCATGCTATTTGAGTTATCACCATTTTTATGTATATCCTCGATTCACTAAAGTATTGGTATATTATTGTTGGACCACTAGCAAGTGTCGAAATCGGCTTCTCGTCTCTACTTCTTCGAGATTAGACGAGATACTTGCTGAGTACACGTTATTTTCGTACTCATGCTACACGTGTTGTGCCATTTTTTTGTTGCACAGGCACATGCATCTCTAGATAGTGAGCGTAGCAGCATGGTTGATAGAGAGACTAGGGTGAGCTGTACTTCTCGAGATGACCCACAGCCAGCAGAGTCACTTTCAGATTATTGTATTTACTTTCTATCCAATTTATATTCCGGACAGTTGTTGTATTATATTGCTTCCTAGGGATAGATCATGCACTTGTGACAACGGGTTTTGGGATGGTTATGAGATTGTTTAATATTAAATTTGTTAAAGACATCATCTTATCTCAGTGAATTTCTTCATTTATTGTTTAATTGTATAAAAGGAACGATTTCAATAAGTCCTAAAACGAAAATTTAATTAACTTCTTGGTGTTGGCTTGCCTGACAGTGGTGTCCAGCGCCATCACGACCCTTAGAGGATTTTGGGTCGTGACAGTAGGGTACATAAAGTATGCTAAAAAAAGTGAGTAGTATTTTAAGTAATTTTAGATAATTCTTAATCATGTGAATAATTGGAAAATTAATGATTTTTGATGAGAGATTAGTTAATTAATTATCAAATTTTGGATAAGTTTAACCCCCCCTCCAACGTGGCATCCCAAGTAATGACTAAGGTCCATACCAATAGGTGGCCTAATTAGGGGCCTTTAGGAAAGGATTAGTCACCTAAGTGGGGTCCACCTAAAGGTTAAAGATAACCTTTCAAAATCACAAAATAAAAATTCTCATATCTACTAAGTTAGGGAAGAAGGCTTCAGCAAAAATGAAATTTTCAATAACAATGTGAGTTGCTTCAACATCTCATACAAATACTACTTAATACTATAGCAACGTGGGGTTTGCGATTCTAAGGAAGTACAGTGCAATCTTTCTCAAGAATATCATACGGATTGTTCCCTACTTCGATCCGCCGTTACGTATTTTTGTCGCAATTAACGAGTGTTAGAGATTTTCAAGAGAATAGGTTCAGGTATGTTAAGGCTAATCCGTCTTTCTTTTGGCACGATCCAAGTAACGATACATAAACGTAATGATATTTCATAAGTGGTTCTACTCTTAGCTGTTAAGGATGTCCATGTTATTCATTCCCGTAAAGTGATATTCAAGCATGTCTAAGTATGTATCTAGTTCCATATTGAGGTATTTGATAAAGATGTTAATGTTCATAATGGTACTATATGCATCATTATTTACTACCGAGCTACGACCGGTCGGGCAGTCATGCATTTACTACCAAGCTACGGCCAGTTGGGCAGTTACACATTTACTACCGAGCTATGGATGGTCGGGCAATCATGCATTTACCACCAAGCTACGGCCGGTTGGGCAGTTACATATTTACTACCGAGCTACAGCCGATCGGGCAGTCATGCATTTACCATTACGCTATGGCTGGTTGGGTAGTTACCACTGATAAGTTGGGCAGTCATGCATCACACGATATGGATAATAGAAATAGTCTCAAAAAGAAACATTATATATATATATATANAATTAATATTGACTTATTGTTATATTTTGTTCTGCCTTACATACTCGTTACATTCTTCGTAATGACCTCATTTTTGTTGTGGATGCTGCATTCATGACTACAGGTATAGATAACTAGTTTGACGAGCCCTCATAGTAGATGAGGTTAGCATTCAGCGAAGGATCGGTAAGACTCCACCTCATTCGGAGTGCAGTAGAGTCTATAAGTCATCGTGTCAGAATTTTGCTACAGACTTATGGTTAGGCCGGTACCCTGACCTATTTGATGTCAAATAGAGGGTGTTTGGATGGGCTTAAAAGCTGGTCAAACCAGCTTTTAAGTAGTTTTTTAATTATTGGAGTGTTTGGCAAAAAAAAAAAGCTACTTAAAAAAGCTAAAAAGTGCTTAAAAAGCTAAAAGCAACAAGTTGGCTGACCCCAACCTTTTCAATTTTGGCTTAAAAGCCATTTTGGTTTGACCAAAAAAATTACTCTCTTGTCCCTTATAAGTTTTTATAATACCAAAATTACCCTCAGTCAAAGAAGCCCTAAAATATTGTATTTCTCCTATTTTCCTCACTTTGAAGACTGTCATCTCCTTTCATCTTCATCTCTGCTTCATCTTTAATTTTTTTGCGCTTTTCTTCAAGCAATTCAGTGGAAATCAATTATCGTTGTAAATTCTTCTCGATCCTTATTGTATATTTTTGTTTGAATTGGAAAATTTTCCTGATTTGAATACATGTCGTCGAGCAGTATTCACATCGCACAATAGAGAATTATGTGCTAAGATTGGATTATCAGTTAAATGCAAAAAATAGTAGTACTCAACTAGTGTTTAGACTATGGCGGAGATGACTTTTATGAATTGTTCTTACAGTACTCTTTTGCGTAAGTTCCTTCTGGGTAATTTACTTTTCAATTTGCTAATATTCCAAGAGTATTTGTGACTCTATAGCAGTACATTATGATAATGAGGAGGAAAAGAAAACACCAAAAAAGTATAAGGGAATAAATAAAGATTAACATGAAAGTAAAAGCATGGATGCTAATGTTCGATGTAATGTACTGTTGTGAATGCATATACATATTTTGTGTGCTGTATGTTTTAAGTAAGTGCTCTAAACTTGCTTTTGGCTTGGTTTTGGAATTTTATCCTCGAAATAATTTAGAAAACAATACTCCCGGCCCTGTGATTATATAATGTAATCTGAATTCTGTCAATTTTCTTAGGATAAAAGCAGTAGTTAATCATATGGAGTTTTAAATAATTTGTTATGTGTTGGCATAGGAGAGAGTCTGTATTAAGCATTTCGGATTACCTGTTTTTTATGGGTTCCATATTATTTAGTAACTTCAGCATAAAAGTGAAAAGAATACCATTAAGACTACTTTAGTACAGAGATTTGATTTACTTTGTATAAGCCAATTACAACAAAAACGTAACTTCCAGATGGTACATAACACATTCTTAGTTACATAAACCAACTTATTCATTATGCAATATTCCTAATGCTTGATCTGAGTTAACATACAAAAGTACTTGTATTACTATTATGCAACTTCAGTCTTAGCTTCTTGGTTGCTCTGCTTTCTTCAGATTATTTACATTCAGTTATGCCGGACAATGCTAAGTGGGACGATGATACACATATTATATTTATTGATTTGTGTTAGCAAAAGGTGAGAGAAGGAAATAGACCAAACACTTACTTAAATAAAGATGGGTGGAAAAGTCTTGTTGACGAGTTCTGTAAGAAAACGGGAAAAGATTATGATAAAAAAAATAAAAAATCATTGGGATTACATGAAAGGAGAATGGACACTTTTTAAGCAGTTGATGAGAGGGGAGACGGGGTTAGGATGAGATTCCACGAAAAATATAATTATGGCAGATGATGATTGGAGGGAGCGAAAAATTAAGGTACATCTCTCACATTATCATATATGTAATTTTAATTTTGTCATTGTTAATTTTATCAGTTTGATTAAAGTAGTTTTTATTTTCTCTTTTTATAGGAGAATGCAAAATATAAGAAATTTAGGAATAAAGATCTTTCGCTCATATGGTTTCGCTACGATGCACTGTTTGCTGATGTTGTTGCCACAGGAGAAAGAGCACGTGCAGCAAATCAAGAATAATCATCGGGCATTGGACTTAATCTTGATGAAGAAGGAATAAATGTCATTGATGATTGTGACAAAGAACACTTTACTCATCTTAATGATGAAATGATCGATGAAAGTGATGATCCACAGAATATAAATTCTGTTATGTTTCCAGAGCCATCACTAAAAAGACAAAAATCAATTGATGGTGTTAGCACTAGTAGTCAAGTAAGAAAGAGTAAGAAAAGAACAACTACAACATTAATAAAAGAGGGTATACACTCTCTCATAGAGTTTATGTCTAGCAAAAGCACTGCTACATCTCCCGCAGTTGATGAGACATCCATCGAAAAGTGTATTGGCACGTTGGAACAAATACTTGATATTCTAGCTGGGAGTGAAATTTACAGTTTTACTATGAATATGTTCCGCAAAAAAAAATAACCGACAAATATTTTTGGGGATGCTTACTAATGAAGCTCGCAAGAATTGGTTGGAGTTTAACTATCAGTTATACCTCAAGAAAAATGAATAGTGTATCGTTGTGGTTGAGTATTGTTATTATTCCGCGTTTGAATATTATGATTGTATATGTAGACGTTATTATGGTTTTATGTGTAAACTTTATATTGCTTCTTGTTTAGACATTGGGATTGTATCACTAAAATTTTATTAAATTAAAGCTTCTGTTTGTGGTAAACTTTATGTTTGAAAGCCTTGGTCCTATTGTTAAGCTTATATTGTTAAACTTCTGTTTGGTTCTGTTTGTGGTAAGCTTATATTGCTTCTATTGTTAGGCTTTGGTAAACTTTATGTTTGGAGGCCTCTTCAGTACATAAAAAAGAACTGAAGAAAGCATATGTTTGAAAACCTCTTCAGTACTATTTAGAAAGCATATTGCTAAACTTTATGTTTTCATTTTCAGTAAAATGGAGAGTTCAGACTCTAGTGACATAGTAGATCCTTATACAAGTTATTCGTCAGCCGATGAAGATGAAGAAGAACTGGATGAGATACAGAGGGAGCAAGATGAGAAGTAATGGATGGCCTTATGTCAAATTGCAGGTAAATTGATTTTGATGTATTACGAAAAATACCTATGTAAGGAACCTTGTCGTATATTTAGTCGCTCTGGAAATGTATTTATTCAAGAGATATTAAGAGGAAACGAGACTCTTGTTATGAAAATTTTCGACTGAGGAAGTCGGTATTTGTTGATCTATCGAATGACTTAACTGAAAAGTATGGGCTTAAAAGCACATGTGGAATGTCTATACACGAGATGTTAGGCATGTTCTTGATGACTTGTGCACATGGAGCTGGAAATCGATTGATACAGGAAATCTTTCAACATTCGGGAGAAACAATTCATAAACACTTTCATAGTATCTTAAAGGCCGTTTGTAAGCTTGCAAGAGATATAATTAGACCACATCAAAATTATAATGATGGTGCAGGAGCTCACAAGCCATGTAATGGTCGATATCTCCCTTTCTTTAGAGTAAGAAATATTTTTACATAATTATTTTTTTTATTAATCTTATAAGTTAACTTTTATAAGTATTACTAACTTAAGTTGAATTTATACTTGTAAATGTATGTAGGATTGTATTGGATCACTTGATGGCACACATGTTAAATCAAGATTACCGCAAGGTCAAGAGATATCATATATTGGCCGTAAAGGTTATCCGACTCAAAATATTCTTGTTGGCGTAGATTTTAATATGTGTTTTACATTTGCATGGGTTGGATGGGAAGGAGCAGCGCACGATAGTCGTATATTTGGTAAAACCCTTCGTAGACCGAAACTTAACTTTCCACGTCCAATTGGAAATAAGTATTATCTAGTTGATGCAGGATATCCTCACATGAAGGGATATATGGCTCCATACAAAGAAGATAATGTGAGATATCACCTAACACAATTCCGCCGCGGTGCAACAAGACAATTGCGAGAACCAAAAGGATGAATTGAAAAATTTAACTATTTGCATTCTTCTTGTAGAAATATTATAGAGCGCACATTTGGGGTTTGGAAATCAAGATGGTTTATTTTGCGAGACATGTCTTTCTATCACATTGACACTCAAAGAGACATCGTACTTGCTACTATGGCCATTCATAACTATATTAGAAAGAAATGCAATATGGATGATGCATTCTGAGCAACTGAGAATGAGAGATATGTTCCATATGTTGATCCTGATGTTGGTACATCTTTGAGAGCTAATAACAATATAAATGTGGAAAATGTGGAAGAGCAAAGTGATCTTGTTTGGATGGGTCTTCGCGATTTGATTGCTAATAAAATTTGTGAAGCTTGATACTTGTAGTTGTGTGAATCTTTTAAAACACTAATATTTGTTATTTTACATTCCAATTGAGAAATGTTATTTTGTTTCGTTCTCTTGAAATATGCATATAATGACCTAACTTTTTATATAATTTGAGAAATCAGTGTATAACTTCAATTTGATTAGCTTGATGTATAAAATGGCTTTTTAAGTTTTTTACTGACTTCTGTTGCAGCACTTTCTGAGCCAAGGGAAGAAAAAAAAGCAATTGAGCAATTATATTCTCATACAGATATATACAAAGCAAAAACTATTCTTTTTATTTTCTTGGAAAACAAATAAAAAAAACTATCTTAAGTAATTATTTAAATTAAAATATAAATTATTTTTTGTTTGCATTGCTTATGAATCAAATATATTGTAGTAATCAGCTCTTTTTATAATATTAACAGTTTTAAGGATATTTCTGTCTTTTTAATAGAAAAAAGTTCTTACCAGCACTTGTTTACCAAACACTTCAACAACCTTTTTTAAGCTTCAACACTTTTATCTAAACAGGTAACTGCTTATTTATAAAACAAGTTTCAGCACTTAAAAGCTACATTTTTCCAGCTAATCCAAACGGTCTCATAATCTTAGAGGCTTTGTAGACAGAGGTTCATTTTGTACAGTATGTCAGAAGCCTTGACAACTCATATGTATTCATATTACGTGTTGTGGCTATGTTGGCCTATGATAGCTACAAAAAAAAGAGTTACAGAGTGGTTCACTCGGGCCAGTACGACACCGAGTGCCAACCATGACTCCCCAGGTTTGGGACGTGACAGAACAATATCAACCATATACCGCAGATCGAAGGAACAATGGCTCGGGACGTAACCCCTCCCTAAATGATCAAAGAAATGATTGAGTACAAAATTCTCGGGGACTTATGAGAAAAAAGTAGTTTTGATAAGCATGCTGACCCAATAGAGGCACCTCAATTATCAGAATATAACTTTAGCATCGATGCATCAAGCATTGTATCGGCAGTCGGAAGGATCAAAGATACTAGATGGCCTAGACCCATATAAACCGACCCTTCCCAAAGAAACCCAAATTTGATGTGCAAGTATCATGGCACGCATGGTCACAAGACCGAGGATTGCAGTCAATTAAGGGAGGAGGTAGCTCGTCTCTTCAACGAGGGCCACCTTCGAGAGTTCCTTAGCGATCGAGCCAAGAATCATTTTAGAGACAGAGACACCAATAGGAAAAATGAATAGGAGGAACCAAAACATGTCATTCATATGATCGTCGGTTGGGTCGATATTCTTACATTAAGGTATCAATTACTAGGGAGAAGCGGACCCAGGATTATGTGCCCGAGGTCTCCTTATCGTTCAACGACGAAGAAGCAGAAGGCATTTATCAACTAAACAATGACGCTCTGGTAATTTCTATCTTATTAAATAAAGTTCAAGTTAAGCGTGTTTTAGTGGATCCAGGTAGCTCGGCGAATATCATCCAATCGAGGGTCGTGGAGCAACTCGGTCTACTAGATAAAATTGTGCCCGCAACTTGAGTCTTAAATGGCTTCAACATGGCTAGTAAAACGACTAAAGGGGAGATTACTCTACCGGTAAACGTGGCTGGAACCATTCAAGATTCTAAGTTCCACGTGATCGAGGGCGACATGAGATACAATGCCCTACTCGGAAGACCATGGATCCATAATATGAGGGTATTACTTTCGACTCTCCACTAAATGATAAAATTCCCGATGTCAGACGGTGTAAAATAGTGTACGAGGAGCAACATGCTGTAAAGGAAATGTTTGCAGTTGACAAGGTAGTACCGGTATTGACAGAAAGGTCAGGCATCAAAGGTAAACAAGAAACCAAATAGCAATCACAGCCACCAGCCTCGACCGGATCAGGAAAGCAGGAGATAGAAGAAAAAGAGGAGGGTTTTCTAAACCCTCGAACCTTTATTATTGTCGAAGACTCCGACGCCACAAAATCAACGGTCGAAGAGATGGAACAAGTTATATTGATCGAGTACATGCCCGAGCGAAAGGTATACCTGGGAATGGGGTTAACCCCCGAACTCAAGAAAAAACATATTCAATTTCTTATTAATAACATGGATTGTTTTGCTTGGTACCATTGTAACATGACAGGGATCCCACCGGAGATAACAACATATCGACTAAGCCTTGACCCCAGGTTCAAACCAGTGAAACAAAAGAGAAGGCCCCAGTCTAAAGTAAAGCATGCATTCATAAAGGACGATGTAACTAAACTTCTCAAAATAGGGTCCATTCGGGAGGTGAAATACCCCGAATGGTTAGCTAACGTAATCTTAGTCCCTAAGAAATGGAACAAACTTAGAATGTGTGTAGATTACAAGGATTTGAATAAGGCATGCTCTAAAGATTCTTTTCCACTGCCTAACATCGATCTCATTATCGATACCACGGCTGTCCACGATATCCTTACCTTTCTCGACGCCTATTCCAGGTATAATCAAATGCAGATGAACCCGGGAGACCAGGAAAAGACCTCATTTATCACCAAGTATGGAACATGTTGTTATAATGTAATGCCCTTCAGGCTAAAAAAATGTAGGAGCTACTTAGTAACACCTAGTAAATAAGATGTTCAAAGCACAAATAGCTAAGTCAATGGAAATTTATATTGATGACATGATAGTTAAGTCCCTGCGCGCAGAGGACCATTTGTCTCATTTGCAGGAAACGTTCGAGATTTTGAGGAAATATAACATGAAAATAAACCCCAAGAAATGTACTCTCGGGGTCGGTTTGGCAAATTCCTGGGCTTCATGATGTCGAATCGGGGGATCGGGATCAACCTCGATAAAATCAAGGCCATCGAGAATAACACCATCGTAGATAGTGTAAAAGTCGTGCATAGGCTAACTGGATGGATAGTTGCTTTAGGACAATTTATCTTTAGGTCATCGAATCAAAGCCACAGATTTTTCTCTTTACTCAAAAAGAAGAACAATTTCACCTGGACCCCGGAGTGCCAACACACATTAGAGGGATTAAAGCAATACTTATCGAGCCCACCACTGCTTCACACTCCGAAGGTATATGAGAAACTTTACTTATACTTAGCAGTATTAGAAATCGCGGTAAGTGGTGTCCTAGTTCGAGAAGACCAAGGTACGCAATTTTCAGTTTACTATGTAAGTCGAACTTTAGGAGAAGCAGAAACTAGATATACACACTTAGAGAAATTAGCAGTTGCACTGATAACCGCTTTTAGAAAATTAAAACCATACTTCCAGTGTCACCCCATATGTGTGTTAACCACTTACCCATTTCGTAATATTTTGCACAAACCCGAACTTTCGGGTCAATTGGCCAAATGGGCCATCGAACTCATTGGGTACGATATTGAGTATCAACCTCGAACGGCCATCAAGTCTCAAATTTTGGCGGACTTCGTGGCCGATTTCACACACCAACCCTTATGCCTGAAGTTGAAAAGGAACTCTTCTTAAAATCGGGCACATCATCGGGGGTATGAACCCTTTTAACAGATAGTGCTTCTAATGTGAAGGGGTATGGGCTAGGCATAATTTTGAAGCCACCCACAGGTAGTACTATTAAGAAGTCTATCAAAACTTCTAGGCTGACTAACAATGAGGCCAAGTACGAGGCCATGATTGCAGGTCTCGATCTAGCTAAAACCTTGGGGGCAGAAGTCATTGAAGCCAAGTGTGACTCTTTATTGGTGGTGAACCAAGTAAACAAAAGCTTCGATGTTCGAGAAGATAGAACGCAAAGGTATTTGGACAAGCTACATGTAACTTTGCACCGCTTTACAGAGTGGACTTTAGACCATGTACCTCGAGAACAGAATAGTAAGACTGATGCACTTGCAAATTTGGGGTCATCGGTCGAGGAAGACGAGATCGGCCTGGGGACTGTCGTCCAACTAACTATCGAGATTTGTGATCGAGGAAGGTCATGCCGAAATAAACTCTACAAGCTTGACCTAGGATTGGAAGAATAAATATATCGAATATTTGAAAAAAGAAAAGCTCCCATCGGACCCTAAAGAGTCGAGGGCCCTTCGAACCAAAGCTGCTTGATTCACATTGGATGAAGATGGAGCATTATACAGAAAGACATTTGATGAACCATTGGCGGTACATTTAGGGTCGGGGGACACCTATTATATTTTACGAGAGGTCCATGAAGGAACTTGTGGGAACCACTCCGGTGCTGAATATTTGATTCACAAAATCATTAGAGCAGGGTACAACTAGGATAGCATGGAAAAAGACACTAAGGAGTTTGTTCGAAAATGTGATAAATGTCAAAGGTTTGCACCGATGATCCATCATCCTGGAGAGCAACTTCATTCAGTCTTATCCCCATGGACATTCATAAAATGGGGGATGAATATTGTCGGCCCTCTGCCAACGGCCCCAAGTAAAGCTAAATTCATTTTGTTTATGACTGACTACTTTTCTAAATGGGTGGAAGCACATGCTATCGAGAAGGTCAGAGAAAAAGAAGTTATAGACTTCATCTGGGACCGCATCATGTGTCAATTCAGGATACTTGCCGAAATTGTATGTGACAATGGAAAGCAATTCATTGGTAGCAAGATATCGAAGTTCCTTGAAGAACACAAAATAAAGAGGATCTTATCAACACC